CTTCTTGACAATTAAAATGCAAACTCAGAACATACATAGAATAAGCAGTTAAACCATACTTATACTTGTGAAAATCATTTTATAACTTTTTTGACATGCATTTTTTTTTATTTTGCTATCCTGTCTCCCACTGTTAAAATACACCAACCATTACAATTATAGACTGATAATTTCTTTGTCAGTAGACAAATGTTCAAAATCAGCAGGGGATCAAATACATTTTTCCGTCGATTAATGAAGGCCTTGTAATGTAGATGTCTGAATAACTGTTAAAGGATCAGACTAAGCAACATAGAGTTTGCACACTAAGCACACTAAGCTCAATGTGATGGTTTTGTTGACAACAGTCTCTGGCATTTACTCAGACAGGCACTAGAGGGTACTCTTGGTACCTATAGACTGACACTTCACAACTTTTAATGAAATCCATGATAGAAGGTTTGAGTACCAGATAATAGTACATAGGTCTTTAAATAAATAAACTAATCATATTTACAACATGTAATTATTATTAGTACTAGTTATGAGGGTAATCTTGTCTTTGCTATTTGTGAGTGATTTGTGCTGTATTAACATTTATTTGATTACAAAAACTACAGAGGATTCTATATAAACATTAGCATATTATGTAGATACCAAGCCCTCTTATAACTTGAAATGACTAGAGAGGTGTATATTCCATACCTATGGAAAGTAATTATACGTTGAGATGTTTATGAGCAGGCAAGATATCAAAACCATTGTACTTCAGAATTTGGATGAAAGAGTTGAAAAATTCACAAATCCATGCATGATAGGTGTTTTGCTAAACAAAATTATTATGCCCTAAAAGTTCAGTCAGTGGGCAAACCAATTCCAAGTTGATAATTAGTAAACAATACCATTAAATGTCTTTTATAAATAGCGGTCATGAGGCTTAAACAAACTATTGTAGCAACATGTATATTACTATATGCTTATGTGTATATTTGCCTACTTATTCCCATAAAAAGAAAAAAGAAAATACTTACTAAAT